CAAATGAATTCATTCTCTTTTTGTCCATTTTCTTAACTGTTCAGCTCTTACATCCACGCATAGCTGCCTTCCCCATTCTTAGTTTTCTTCTGATTTCATGAATGCAGTCCCCATTCTGATCAATGTTTGATCCAAGGTATAGGAACTCTTTTACTATTTCTGTGTCTCATTGTTTAGGTTGAACTTACGAAGATCCTCTGTGATCATTATTTTTGTTTTCTTTATGCCTGCCTTTGCACTGACAACCTTAGCTTCTAGTAAAAATTTAGGCTTCATTTGCTCTAGGAGCCATTCACTCACTTTTTGGTGGTTCATGGATTCTGTAGAACTCTCCTCCACCATTTCAGATGAATTGGTATTCTTTGCCATTGCTTTCAGTACCACTCCTACACATCAAAGAATAAGGTGGTTGTGAGGGAAACAACAGCTGGACCTAAGACAGGGAGAGGAAAGATGTGGTTCTAAAAAAAAGTAAAACAAGATAACAGCAATCAGAAGTCATTATAGTCTCTTATAATAAGCTGTTATTAGATTTTCTTTTCAAAATGCTAAAGTTAGTGTTCTTGCAAAGAGCCAGTGTAGTGTAGTGGTTTGAATGTTGGATTATGACTCTGGAGGCCATGGTTCAAATCCCTGCTCAACAATAGAAACCCACTGAGCAAATCACACTATCTCAGCTTCAGAGGAAGGCAAAGGCAAACCTTCTTTCAAAAATCTTGCCAAAAAACAAAGTCTTATGATTAGGGTCGCCATAAGTCAGAAACAACTTGAGGGCACATAACAACAACCAAGTGTTCTTGCAAGATCCTATAATTAACATTCCTTCATTTCCATGTATTGGGCTTCAGAGATTCTGAGTTCTTTTGCCAACTATGGAAGTCTTTTTATGCCTCAGTTGTGCTTAATTGATTTTCATACTTTTATGCACAAACCTTTTTGCCTTTTGATTTGCCCATCCGTTCATCATTGTCCTCTTTGTAATAGATGTTGGAGCCATATAATATTTACCACCATGCAAGTGAAATGTTATCAATCAATATGACAGTTGAGCATTTTGCCACTTTCCTCCTCATGTACTTTGGATTGTTTAAATAAAGCTTTATTGATTTAATATTTGTTTAATTAAGGGATCAATTGGTTAAGCTGAAATGCATTGCATAAATCAATATATGTGCATTTTAAAGATAATGTTAGATTTGATAACAGGTTTTTCATAACTAAATCAAGTCCTGTTGATTTCTTTGGGTCTACATTAAGAATAGCTGAGTCTAGATCCAAGCCCAATATCCTTTTAAAAATATTTTGTTTCATTTCCTATTACATTCAACTTGCCAGAATCAAAATTACTTTTAAAACACATGGAAGTGTGTCCTGAACTCAAATTCTTAATTAAGGCACAGCACCTGACATGGGCTACCTCCTGATGCAGCCTTGCTAAATTTGAAAAGCTGAAGATAAAAATGGTATAGGTCTGATAGGTGAGAGGCTACCCAAGAGCCTTACATAACAGAACTTTCTGTGTGCCTGAAACACCTCTTCTCAGCTAATCAACTATAATAGGATCATAGTTCATTGTATGCAGAATATCCCAGGTACTGTTCATGCAATTGGTAGTTGAAAGATTTAAGTAACAGATGATGTAAAAGTCCTTTTGTTTAGGTCTTGGAAGGTTGCAGCCAGTGATGTATTCAAATCATTTACTCCAAGTCTCAACTCAAGTTGAGTCTCAAGCCATTGCAAGAAACTTTCAAGTCAAGCCTCAAGCTGAGTATCAAGTCTGGGAGCCAACTTTAACAGAAGAAAGGAGGTGGTGGTGATGTGTGGGGGGTTAGATTTCCATTAATAGAAAACCACGAAGATGTGCACCTTTAGATTTTAAAAGATATCATTATCATATCATTTATCAAGTCTGCATTTTAGAAAAATGAGGTCTACTCAGGAGGTTGTCCCTGCTGCACATTGGGGGAGTCTTCTAAAGCTTTTGAAAAACTTTAGAAGGATCTTTCCACCTCAGGTCTGTTACCTAGCATGTTTTCTGTTTCCTTCTTGTGCTCATGACTTGAGGAAGTAGTTTAGGTCTACTCAGCAGCCTGTCCCCACTGCACATTGGAGGAGCCTTCTAAAGCTTTTCCTAGGAGCAGCAGGCAAGACTTGTCCCTAAAGCATGGGCCCATTTCACACAGGGGAACAGCAAATATGTTAGGCAGTGGACTTGAGGAAGGAACCCTACTGTCACAGTAGTTAAATGCCAGTACTGCAGCACTCACTCACAAAGCACAAGGTTGTGAGTTCAATCCCAGCCAGGGGCTCAGGATCGACTCAGCCTTGCATCCTTCTGGAGTCTCTCAAATGAGTTCCCAGCTTGTTGAGGGAAATTAGCTTACAGTTATAAACTGCCAAGAGACTGCTTAGTACGGTATGAAGCTGCTATTGCTATTGTTATTGCTATTGAGGGGAGAATTTACAGGAAGTGGGGGCTTCCTGTATGGCAAAAGTAAAGTTCAGTTTCCATCACATGATTAGTAGGCAAAAAGCAGCGAGATGGCTCAAAGAAGGGAAACCTTTTTCCATTATGTAACATTTCTGGATGAAGTTAGGCCAGCAATTTAGTACTTAAAAATATACAAGTCATGAGTCATGTCGAGTCCATGTTGAGTCATTGAAGTGACTTGAGACTGTCTGAGTCAATCCACTTGAGTCTACGTCACTGGTTGCAACCAGTCAGAGTAGACAGTATTGGGCTAGTGACAGAATCAGTGTGGTGTAGTAGTAAGAGTATTGATTTCAGACTTGGAATATCCAGGTTCAAGCCATGACAGAGGCCTGGGACTAATTGGGTGACCTTGAATTACAGAAACCTTTTGCACAGCAAGAAACCTCATAAGCTAGGTGTGTAGAAAGAAGCATCCCTTTGTTTTTCCTTTCCTTTCATTGAAAAGCCCCAGAAATCTTTAATGCAAGACATGTTTTGCATAAAACAATCAGAGCAGGCACTTGTATAGATTTGCTCTGAAGATGCTGCAGTGCATGAAAAGCCAAAGCAGTCATTAGAATGCCATCAGGCTTTTGCCTGTTGTTGCCCCTTGCATTCTAATGAGGGCCATGTCTCTTCCTCTGGTTTCTGCATTTCCACAGTTAACTGCACTATGACTAGTGGTGTGTCCTTACAAAGAGACATCAGGGTGCTGTGTTAACAGAACAAGAGCATATAAAAGCCTTGTCAATGATCTGATTACTTGAATTTCATGGTGATACATAAGGAATAGATTTGTAGAGGAGGTAATTGTTCAGGGTTTTGTTTTTGTTTTTCCAGAGGCAGATTTTGGCCAGGAAATGGTAATGAGTCCCAGTTTTGTTATTTATTATCACAGTAGTTACATTTATAACTGACCTTTGCTTCATTGAATTCAGTATCCTCACAACAATCCTGTGAGGTGGGTTATGCTGTTAAAAGAGTGACTGGCCCAAGGTCACCGAATGAATTTCATAACTGAGTAGCAACAATGCCAAATCTCATCATTCTAAACCAGGGGTAGGCTACCTAAGGCCCGGGGGCCGGATGCCCCAGGCCAGTTCTGCCGCCCCCGCCACCTCCGCCGCCCGCCATGATGATATTGATTATTGTTGTTATTAC